TCGCCTGGCTGATTCTCTGATACTGAGGCTCCAGTAGGAGTGCACATGACATCAATGGGCCTTTGCGGAACCCTTTTCAGCCCCATTGAATCATAGGCCGGGCTAGATGCCCCCGACCACTATATGTCTGTCGGCATGTAACGCCTGTTACTCGGGCATGATTTATCGACCTTGAAGTCGGAACGAATCAAATGCTGCTATCTAGTTGTATAGGGATTGCATACGTCGTTGTTTGAAGGCGGGTTTTTGGCTATATAACCCATGATACGTTCCCACCCTTTGGAGACGCTGTGTCAACGTTCTTTCTCTTAGGCTGTTCCCACAACCCCACTACCCGCTGATCACTCCTTTGACTCCTTTGATAGCTTGTAGCCTATAGGGCTACACTATTAATCTTTAATTTCATTAATCCTCCAAAACCTTCACACTCATTAAGCACTGTTCAATATTTGGTCATGGTTTGTCACTCTTCCCATACTACAGCCATTACTCTGTGGTCCAGTTCATAACGTCGCGACAGGCGCGAGAACCGAGAAAAATCGCTTCATCTGGGCTGGCTGCCAGACGAAGTCAATCGAACCAAACTCCCCTTCTCCCCCCCATGAGCTTCCGAACGATCTCTCCGGTGTCACTCCTCCGCATCGGGTCCAGGCCACTACAGGTGCTACGGGGGCCACGACCATCCGATAGCCTCAACTGCACATCTCCAAAGCAACAGAAACAACCAAACCACTCAGAAACACTCAATGGCTGCATAGCCTGTGCGACCCGTTTCGCCAACAAAGCTGAATACGAAGCACATTTCCACGACGTCCGCAAGCACCACTTCTGCACCCGCTGCGATGCCCACTTTGAATCCACAATCTGCTTCCACCAGCACCGCGAACACTCCGACAGGCACAACATGTGCACAAAGTGCGACCTTGACTTCCCCACCCGCAGGGAACTCGTCGGCCACTGGGTCACAGCAGAGAAATCGCTGCACGCGTACTGCAGGCAGTGCGATGCGCATTTTGACTCCTGGGCCGAGGAGCAGAATCACTATCTCCAAGACTTACACCATGTTACTTCCCTAACATATATCCGCCCTGTAGCGAAGAGGGAAGTCCCTTGCAAAGACCCCGGATGTGCGGCATTGTTCGCGTGCAGTTATGAGATGAACCTGCACCACCTCACAGCGCACAGAGAGGTGCTCGAGTGCCCCGTGTCAAAATGCCGGATGAAGTTTATAGACTTTGTGTGTCTTGAGAATCACCGGAAGAAGTGCGAGCTGGCGAAGGTTGCTTGTCGACATCCGTCTTGTACAGCTGGATTTAAAGAGGAGGAGGAGATGGAAAAGCATTGGGAGGAGAGACACACCACTAGATCTACCACCCCAGAACAGCAGCAGAGTGGGTCGCGTTTGCCGTCTCCCACGAGGCGTATTCGCTTCACGTGCCCCCTCGAGGAGTGCGGGCGGGAATTCAGAGATATAGAGTCACAGATCAGGCATATCGTCAGCCATCATGCGTACTGTCGCGCATGCAGTACTGAGACTGGTGGGAAAGTATTTAGAGATCACGAAGAGTTGGAAGATCATTTACGTGAGGGTTTGCCACGGCATAGTTATTGCTGGGCGTGTAGGATGATGTTTAATGACGTGGGGGCATTAGAGACGCACTTTGGAGAGAGGCATGGGGGAATAGCTCACCTTGACCCCCGAAAAGACGCAAGGGTATTTGTTATGAAGCCTTCATGACTGCACAAGTAGATTCCCAGCTCCTGCGGTAATCATGGCCATGTAGAGGAAGGGGAACAGCATGGGCAGTTGGTCTGTATTTAGCTTGAGCTGTCTTTGTGATGACTTTTTTTTCTTTTCTTTTTTCTCTTTTCTTCTCACTTCATCATCGCATAGGGTTTGGAGGCTTGCGTCAGGTCCGCGAGGCACAGATCCTATGACATATGAGCCGGCCCTGAAGCACGATAGTGACATTCCTAACCCCTAACAAATTTTTTGCTGAGTTTATCGAAGATTCTCGCTGCCCGATGATTGAGCCCATAAAGCACTCGAGTATCATAGATCCCTATTCATTTCTCAAGAGCTCAGGTGGTTAGATTGTTGCTAACTTCCCCTTTCCCCACCCCCACACGCAGCCTCCCTCTCCTCTCCCATTACTCTTCATCCCCTTCCTTTCTCCCATCACCACTCCTCTGGTCTTTGTCGTGTTATGATCCTGATGGAAGGTCATGGTTCGGGCTAAAACGAGCCATAAAACCGAATACCCCCATCCCTTGTATTATATATATATATATATATACAATAAGAGAAATCAGTTGCTCTCCAATGTCCAGAAACCGATCTCAAAAACAGCAAATTGTCCAAATATCTCGAGGTGAATTTTCCAAAGCACCGCCCGTCATTCGAGCAGAGTGGGTGCGTAACCATGTCTCAGCGCCCAGCAGCGCAACAATTGACCAATGACTTAGGTCATGGGTAATTCGACAGCAACTTAAATTATGTCTCGCTTCCCACACGAGTACGGTACCTGCACACGATATACCCGGCTCGCCGGCCGGGAAGGCCACGTCCATAATATGACCCAATCATGACCCGAAATATCACAACTATAACTTCATCCCTCGCGGTAAGGAAAAGGGGACACCACCACGCGCCAATCACGGTCCTATCGGCACTGCTATCTATCGCTGTATAAATAAAGTATTAATACCAACTAGAAAGTCTTCCTTCATTCGACAAAAACCTGTTCTCGCACCAAATTTGGTTTCCAAAACATTCCCCGGTTACTACAGTATAAAGAAGGTTGGGGTTTCGTCACTGGCCTGAAGGAAAGGAAGGAAGAAGAGGAAGGAAGAAAGAAAATCACTTTGCGCTCATTCACTCGGAAGGACAACTGGCAGATGGGGGGAGGGGTGTAAAAGTGACTTCAGATTTTGTTTGGAGGTGGGGGGGGACTCTGTATGGTGCGGAAAGGGTCTTGGCGACTTGATGATACCTCTAACTTAACTCACATTCCCCCCCCCCCCACTCCTTTATAACTTTTTTTTCTTCGTACTACGTCTGTGAGATTTGTAATGGATGTCCCGTTAAAATTAAATTTTTTTTGGCGGATTCTCTGGGCATTGGTTGGATTTTCAAGATTAGCAAAAGGGGTGACAGTGAGTGAGTGTGATGCAAGGTAACGGCTTTTTCTAGATTCATAATTATTACGGCACCATGGCAACTACGATTTGGGCATAGAAGATGCTATCGAATCACTCTCCTTCTGTCATATATACCCACATTACCGAGATGAGATTCATCCAAAAATTTGGACAAGAGTTGTAGGCAGCCGTCCGTACTGGACCAGTTGATTATAATCTAGGGGAGTATCACACTGTACAGTATCATATGATAGAACCGGGGGACCCGCAAATCCCAGTGATTTCACTACTCAATCGTGGGATCGATTCGATATACAGCGTAGCAAACGTATTAGACGGGGGGGGGGGTAAAAAAATTAAAAAAATCAAAAAAATGTCAGGTGTGGAAGTGAATAACTTTGTAAATTGCATGGATCTATCTATCTAGCCCGAGCCAACAATGCAGAATTTTCGAAAGAAAAGAGGTATCATACCAAAAAAAACCAAACATCAGAACTAGGTTGCTGTCGAGGAGATCCACTACTGTATCATAATATTATTATCATAACTGTACGGCACTCAACCCGGGTTTTCTCTCAAGCGTTTGCACGTCAATAATAGAATCACTCTGTATATAAAAAAATAAAAAAATACGTCAAATTTTTTTTAAACCCAAATCCTCTCCCTTCCTGGGAGAAAAATTTCGAAACAAAATCGAAGCCCCCAGACAAAAGTCAGCTCAAGGGAGCGGCAAAACTTAACAATGTGTATATATACCTCCTTGCGCCGATTGGTTTTTTTTTTTTAGATCTCTACTTTTTTTATATTTTTTAGTGCATTTCAACAGATTCCCTACCCGTCCGACCCGTTTTTTTTCCTGGTCAAGCACGTTATTTTGTTGCACTGACTGACTGACTGACTGACTGACATGGACAGTCCACACCATGCCAGACTTCCAATAACCTGGAAAAGAGCTGGGCAGGGGGGAGGGGCTATACATACCCCTTCCAGTGATCCCTGCTCTACTAGTATTCCATCATATCACGACAATACTGTGATGCACTGTACTGTACAGTACAGCACAATTCATACATCGCCATCCATCCAATCCCCAGTGGCAGCAGGACTGCCTATGATATGAAGCACCAACCGCACCACATTCCTCAATCATAGCAATGACGAAGCCCCTCCCATCTAACTAAATTACATCCCCCCCCCCCGGATCCATCTACCGTAACTATTTTACCAAACAAGCCCTATTTCCCAACCCCTCAACTTCTCCGAGAAGCCGGGCCGAGAAGCCGGTACTTTTCCATCCTGTTTTCCACCATGACAATTCAATTTGCTGGGTGGTGCTTGCTTGTTTGCTTGTGGTGGTTAGCATAGGTATGATATAAGCTGAGGTAGACAGATGTCAGTGGATATTATATATAATACTATAATACTACAAGTGGTATCATAGGTAGGTTGGGTTAGAGTTCGGGATGATGTCATGTCATGTCATGTACACGAACGAGTAAGGTTTATATAACACGTTACTTGCAGGATAAATAATCGTGGAATTTTTTTTTTTTTTACTTTAGATGACATATATCACGAATTGAATTTCACCATCATAATATTAATTACAGACATACCACACATACATCCTTGTTTGTTTTGCGCTTGCGCTAGCATAGCAGAGCGGGGGGATGGGACTGGAAGGTATTCCCTTTTCCCATATAAGAAGTGGTGAAGATACTATAATATATTATATCATACGCTAAACTTACCTTTTCGAAATCAGTCATGAAATAAAACCTATCATACCTACTAGAGTGTAGTATGATGGGAGCCCGCTTTCCCCTCAAGGACAGGAAAACTAAATGTCTTCATCAACAAGCAACATGGCGCAGTGGAAGCGCGCCGGGCTCATAACCCGGAGGACGCACGATCGAGACGTGCTGTTGCTAATAATTTTTTTTAGTTTTGGAGACGGAAGGGGGATGGTTCAAATCATCACGCTCGAGTTTTTTTTTATCATTTTTTCTTGTCTCCCCTTTTTATTTAATTTTCACAAACAAGTGCTAGGAGCTAAACAAGGTCTGCTATGTAGAAGCATTTAGACTAGGAACAATAGGGGAAATCCTATTATAATTATTATCCATGCAACCTGTTTTTTCCACAAAGTCCCTGCCGTTCTTTCTTTCTTTCTCAAACTGTTCCTGCATCTGCACCTGACACTCACACACACACACAAACCCAGTAAAAAAAAAAGACAAGGATAAAACGCACAGACCACCGCTTAATCCGACCAACCCACCTATCAACCATCGGAAGATTGTATTTCCGCTGGAAAACCCTAACCCAGTGATTGAAACCTCCGGCGACTCATACCATACATAATATACCGGTAAATTCAAAATCTACACTGCTTGAACCACGCTACCTTTCCGAATCCCTCCCCCCTTGCAACCAGCCAACCTTCCCACCCGAAAATAGCGAGAGATGTCCAGAGGTGGACGTGGCGGTTTCCGCAGCGGCGGCGGTAACTTTGGTGGGGGAATGGGAGGAGGAATGGGCGGCCCATTCGGTCACGACCCGGATAATCCACCGGATTACAGTACTACCGAACTCTTTCCCGTATCTCCTCTCCCTCCCACCCCTCTACACCCCACGTCTAACAACTGATTGATTAAAAACAGCCCCAACCACCACCCGTTCCGAACCCCCTGAGTAAGGAGGAACGCCACATAGTAGCGCGCTACCGCCTGTATCGCGACAAAATCCATAATGGCTCGCTGTACACGGTCATGGGCAAGAAGCGTGGCATGGAGGACCCGTTCAACGATGTGAGCAAGTACTCAGCGAAATACAAGCGACAGAAGCGCAAGGTGCCCAAGTTGGATTCCAGACCCTACGTTAAGGAGTTCTTTCCCGAGGAGCTGTGGGACACATTAGGGATAGATGGTGATGGCGGTGCAGAGGATGGCAGGGGTAAGGAGAAGGGGAAGGTGAAGGCGAAGAAGCTGGTTTTTTCGGCGCTCGATGTTATTGGTGGGTTGGATGAGGAGGATGAAGAGGATGGAGAGGGCGAGGATGGAGAGGCTGGGGGGAAGGGGAAGAAGGGGGTCTTGCAAAGGCTGCTGGGCGATGACGTTGGTGACGATGATGACGATGACGATGAGGTAGCGGAGGAGGAGGAGGAGGAGGCTGAGGATGATTTTGGCGATGATGAGGAGGGGGACTACAATGCTGAGATGTACTTTAATGACGGGGATGATGACGGTGGGGATGATTGGGGGGACGAAGGGGGTGGTGAGGACTATTACTAGACGGATGAAGCGTGCAACTACGAAAAGTATCTTTGGTTTCCCTGTATTTTGGTATCTATTTCAACCCCCCATTCTAAATTCTAGTCTTCCCCCTTTTTTTTCTGCTTCTTCTCGGGATTGCTTGTCTTTTTCTCTTCTTTTTTTCTGATATTAGGGCAAATGGCACCTCGTGATATCTTGAGCCACTCAGACAAAGAAAAAGAAAAAAGAAAACAAAAGCAAGGCGTAGCCTATATTTGGGCTGAGTTCTCCAGACAGGCCACGGCTTCCCGCTATTTGGGATTCCCAGACCCGAGGTGTCACTCCATCAAGGGTGTGTTCGCAGCGAGCTCTCCCTCATCACTGACCCCCTTCAGTTGGTATCGGTGTTCATCTCTGTTAGCACCTTGATCCGTGTCAGATTTCCCACCCATCCTCTCGTCATCTTCCTTCCTAACCCATGGTTTCTCTGGCGGTGCCTCCTGGCACAAAAGCTCTCTCATTGACCTCCCACCATCGCGAAACCTAATAATGTTCACGGCTCTTTTGAACTCCGCTCGGATCCTCTCTACCCCGGGGACATTGCACGTTCTTCCCACGTTGTGGCTGGTTTCGAAAGGGTCCTCGATGGTAAACAAGTATCTATCTTTTATCTGAGTATGCCCGCTCCTCCCTGGCCTAGTCACAGCCGCAACCCAACCCTTCTCTTGCTTACTAAGTATGCCACCTTGGGTCCGGATGGAGATGACTTCTCTTCCCCATTGGAACTCATATGAATAGTATTCGAAGAACCTGTGTAGGAGCTGGCCGACATGCATCTGGTTCGTGGTCTTGGGAAGGTTTTCGATATCCTTAGCATACCAAATCTGATGCTCTCCTTCACCACCCTCATCAAATATCTGGTCAGACGGTACATCTTCGGGGATCGGGGTATTCTGCAGATTGATCAAAACAGCGGGGTCAACCGCATTGATCAGAAAATGGATGATCATGAGAACGTAGCCGTAAGAAGAAAGAGTACCACGATACGGGCTATTGATATGTCTTCTCTTGGCCCACCACTGGCATGTGTTAATGTCAGATTCACAAATTCTGAACCGCCAAGGTGTTTGCGAGGTTAGAATCAGGATTAAAGTGTGAATACCTTTATAAAAAGAACCATCTCCCTGACTCTTGGATCACATCGACTATATGTTTGCAGCATCCTGGTATTGTGCACTCCCAGGTCGTTATTAAACCCAATATCGCAATTCAAGTCAAATGAGCTCTCATCTGCAGCCTTCAGTGCTAGCTTCAGTATAGGTACACGGGTCTTTAAGAGTAACGTAACCTCGAATCCCTCAGATTGAAATTCTTTCGCCAGATTATGCGGAAGAGAATTGGACTCGTCAATCTTGTCAGGGGTGCTGAAAAGGTCCTCCGGATAGGGAGATGTGAGAACGGCATCAAGATCAGACTTAGTTATTGCAAATCCAGCTATGGCACCGAGAAAATGGAGAGCAAGGCAATCAGATTAGAGATGTATTAAGTGATATTAACCAAACTGGCTATAAGGTACACAGTCAAGAAAAAGTTGAGAAGAATGAAGGACGTAGCACTTACTAACTAGACTCCCAAAGGGAACTAATTCGCCTTCTGGGCAGATTCTTCGGCAGATCGCTCTACATTTTTTCAAGTGCTGGTTTTGGGCGGCTAATTCTTCTGGGGTTGGCGTAGCGGCCGCAATAATCTCCCTGGCAAATACCTGGAGATTGGTATTCTGCTCATACATCATTTGCTCTGACTTGAGGGGAGGCATCCGGCTTTTACCCGCCTGTGGAGACAGTTGAGGGTTCCGAAACGTTGATCCCCGCTGGGAGGGCGGACGGCTCTGCAATGGAAATTGTTGATATTGTGTCCTATGTTGAGGTTGCTCCTGTGCATTTGTTTGCGGCGACTTAGGTGGAGAAGGAGGTTTGGGTAGAACGTTTTTGAGGCGCTCCGTTCCAAGGGGGGGGAACTGATCGGGGCCATCTGCGGGCAGAGGATGGGAACAGACGCCTGAGTTGAGGCTGTTGCGCTGAGGACTGTGTCGAAATTGAGGTCTTCTGGCACCAGTCCACGGATATCCCCGTGGTTTAACCTGTCTATTTGGGGCCGATTGCTGTTGGTGGAGGCGTTGAGGTGTGGGATACTGTTGCATAGTAGGGCGCATATGTCGCTGATCCTGATGGGCTGAGATCGAGGAGCGATTCGGAGGCTGATTTTGTGGTGATAGCGGTACTGTTTGCTGGGGTTGCTCTCTGAGGGCAAAAGGTGGTCCGTGAGATGGCAACAAGTGCGCCGAATGGACTGGCGGAAGTGGTGCCCCAAACTGCGAGCCTAGTGCTTGAGGGCCTAGTGCTTGAGGGCCTAGAAAGTTCGACGAACAAGGTGAGTGGAAGAACGTATGAGAAGTTGCGGACAGGGCAATTTGGAGGAGATGGGAGATGCCAACCAGATACTTGAGGGGAAGGATTGATTGGTAAAGGCTGAGAATCAAACCCAGGACTTTCTGGCGGAAATGGAATGTTGTAATCTTGCTCCTTGTAAAACTGATCCTGGGTGTGGGGAGTAAGTGGCACTGGCGGTGTGGGATGCCCTGGTGAGAGGTCCTGGCTGTTTTGACGATAGCTGGGCGAATTACTAATGATCATTCCTCTGACCTGTTCCTCTAAACTATTTCCTCGCGATAGCTGAGGGTTCCTAGGAGGCGTACTTGGGGCGTGCCCAGCAGTGGGCATTTGGCCTGTCCACATGTTGCGAGATTGTGTCCGGGGGAGAATCTTTGAGGTGCTAGGGATTTGTACAAAGTAAAAAAAATGAAATTATCATAAACTCAAGTCAGAGGAATTTATTGTTGTTGTTGGAGGGGGAGGAGGGGGGGGGGGGCGTGGGATATTAGGGGTGGAATGTGGTTGAAAGGGTTAAGGAGGTTGGGCTTTGGAAGCGCAAAGTTTGCAGACAGAGCTCTGGAACCCGAGTTGTCTAGAAGAAAGTTCGTGCAACAGGAGCTGTAGATCCATGGGTGTGACATCACGTGCTCATGCGCCTCCATCTTTGTGTTAGCAGCATCTAGATCCCCGTCTCAACCCCCAGATTACCCACTATTTCTTTGCTCTACAGGGGACAAACATATCTCACGCCCCACCATTCAAATCCTGTCATTTCCCAAATATTATATCAATACCAGCTTCAATTTTACCACTGTAAATACCGATTCCAGCCTCGAGGCTTTGTTTTCAGTAGCTGACGGTGTCTGGTGTATACTAACACAACCCCCCACCTTGTCTGCAAGATGAGGAATGGAAGCTATATTCGAGCATTAGGGAGGCAATCCTTCGAGCCCTCCCAGCCAGCCTCCGATGCAGACTCAGCCGGCTCTTCTACATGCGAGCAATCTCAAGAAATGCAGCGACGTCTGATAAAGGCCCAAAACGACGTCCTAGCAACGGTTGGGGTATGCCGTCGGGACACTAAGCAAAACCAGGTTCTCTCAGAAGCAATTGTTGAAGAGAATGAAATTGGATTGCTTGTGGGTGCGATAGACTTAACCATTACCTATTTAACTACTTGGCCGCTTGTTGGAGTCCGGAATAGACTACAGGTATGTGAATTTTCGGGGGTGCCGGCGGAATCTC